TTAAATTTGAAACTATTTTAAATTAAATATTAATTTTGTTAAATATTAAAATTATATTTTAAATTTAATATTAATTTTGTTAAATAACAAAATGATATTATATAAATACATAGATTATGTTTTATATGAAAAATTGGATCAACTATTAAATATGTTCTTGTGAAAAAATTAATTGAAATAAAACAAAAATAGAAATAAATTAAAATTTCTTTTTTTGCTAAACATTTTAAAGTTATTAAATAATATTCACAATTTTGAATCTTTCAATTTTGTTAAATAATAAAATTATATTTTAAATTTAATATTAATTTTATTAAATAACAAAATTATATTAAATTTAATATTAATTTTGTTAAATAACACAAAATTATATTATTTAAATATATAGATAATGTTCTATATGAAAAATTGGATGAAAACTATTAAAAATGTTCCTGTCAAAAAATTAATATTAAAAAACAAAAATAGAAATAAACTAGAATTTCTATTTGTTAAACATTTGAAATTAATTCTCAAACACACAAACACACACAACACTTACAATTTCAATCTTTCAATTTGTTATTTATATATTATCATATAACTTATTATTTATATATTTATAAAATTGTATCACAATAAAATCTGTTAAAATCTAATTACAAAAAAAAAATAAAAATAAAAATACAAATAAATAAAAAAAAATTGATTTCAAAATCGACAGATAACTCACCACCTTTTAAGGTTCACTTCTCTCTCTCTCTCTCTCTCTCTTGTTGCTCTTTAAATTTTCTCCTTTTTTCTCCTCTCACACATCCCCTTTCTCCCTGACGTCTAATGTAAGAAAAAAAAAAAAACAAAAAAAACAAAAAAAGTTAAGTTTCGCAGGGTGCAAAGCAATGACGCGGACAATTTGTATTCGGCCGTCAACGAGGACTCGTTTCTATTTTCGAGCAAACGCACACGGGATGATATCTTTTTATTTTCTTCACCTCTCTCTCTCTCTTTCTCTCTCTCTCTCCTTCTCTCGTTCGTCGTCCTCTTCTTGCTCTCTTTTTTTTTCTCTTTTTTCTATTTTTTTTTTCCTCAACGATCCAGAAAAGCGTACGACGACGATGACTATACGTAAATCCGTGCGTCGGCGGCACATGGCTACGTTTATAATTAAAAATATAAATGTAATTTAAAATTAAAACTTAAATCCCCCAAAGATAAATATATATATATATATATATATATATATATTTTGTGGTAACACTGAATACCAAAAAATAAAAACAAGTTAGAAAAGATATCAAAAGAGAAAAATATCAATGAAAATATATGTAAAAAAAAAAAAGATATTTTACGTGATATCTTTTACTGTATAACAATATTTATATGATGAAGTAATAATTGAGACATTATTGATAAATGATCATCAATGATTCATGAAATTATGACAATTTTCTACGTGACAACACTTCGTGTGTGTGTGAGGAAGGTTTTTTTTCTTTTACATCAAACAGCAAATTGAACTCTTTCGAATGCTTACGTATGCCTTTTTCTTAGTTTTCATTAACTGTAAACGTTTTAAACCCAATGTAATACTTACATCAATATTATTATTTTACATGAGCCGTTTACTTTAAAAGTGGCCTACTGTAAATGTTATATTTTTTACATGATCTTTTTATTCTGAAACATTTTGTTACTGATCATGAACATTTTTGTAACACAACAATTTGCTGATTTAATCAAACGATGAAATAGTTTATTTTGAAAGTGAGCCTAATTCCAATTGTCAATTATAATTTTTCAAGTGAAAACTTCTTTAGAATGGGTGTAATTTGAAAAAATGTAACGCAGCGGTAGGCGGCGATGTAACGGAGCGGTAGGCGGCGGTGTAACAGACAGACGGTGTAACAGCGGGCGTCTATGAAACGGCCAAGATACTAAATAAGAAGAGAAAAAGAGACAAACATATAGGATTAAGCCTGCGAGAGAATGAGACAGAATGCAGCTATACCCTTTTTCCTATTCTTGGTCTTTGACTCGTAGTCCGCACCGCATCGCACCGCACAGCACCGCACCGCATCGCACCGCACCTGATATTCTGCATTTGTCTCATTCTCTCGAAACATAGTTTTTTGAAGGTTACACTTTTAACACGTGTGATCTGCACACGTTGTTTTTTTTTTTATAATAAATCAAGCCTACAATTATCTTACACCTGATACTCTGCATTCGACTCATTATCTCGAAACGAAGATTTTAAGAAGGTTTTACTTCAAACACGTGTAATCTGCACACATGATATTTTTGATTGTCCGTAATTACTCGTAATGATTAAGATTTTGGCATGGTAGAAATGTCATTAAACAACAATTATTTACAGTTTTGTCCTTCAAAGATTATTATAATATTATCAGAATGTGCTGGAAAGGTATTAACTTTTACTGTAAATCAAATGAAACAAAGAAGATCTTTGTATGTACAAAAATGATTAGAAAAGGCTATTTTTAATAAGGATACACAATTCTAACGGAGAATCGATAAACTGTTTAAAAATATGTTTCAATGCGTTTTGTCAGAAATGAAACCGTATCAAATTTTCTATAAAACATCGATGAATGAGAATGAATATTTGAAAATCCTGAATTTATTAGCACATCTGGGTAGATCAAAAAAGTTCAACAATATTATATTGACACCATTGTATGAAAATATCAGACAAATGACAACATCAAAATTCAAGGACATAATAAACCTACTACGACATATCCCATTGGAATATCATGGTTTCTTCAAATCCCTTTCACACACGCAAAATGTAAATGAGCTGTAAATTGTTTTGTAATTTATGTAAGTTAAAAAATGTTTTCAATCGCATCAATTATGTTTCTGAAGTGTTTTAAAGATATGTCAAATAAATAGAGTATTATTTTTGTTTTCAATTTGAAGCATCTTAAATTATGTTGAATGGGGGACTTGGGTTACTTCAAAGTTTATAATGAAATCTGGTTGTTAATTTTGAAAGTGGTGGTCTGACTGCATTTTTGGATAGAAAACGCATAATAATTGACACTATTTTAATAGAAACGATAAATTGAGAACACCTTTAGATACACTTAACACTAGATATACCAGACCAGTCATTTTGACTGATCAGACTATTTTAATTCAAAATTTCTACTACATATAACATTTGAGTACTGTAAATAATTAAATGTTTTGTTATTTAAAAATGTCTCTAAATTCACTTATTTATTAAAATTATTATTAAATATTTTGTATTATTTTTTAAGATTAAATAAAGACTGGAAGTCTCAAAAAGTATTTTACGTATTTAATTTTATATAATATATATAAAATAATATATAAATAAAAAGTATTTAATTTTAAGTTGTTTATACAACAGTCATTTTGTCTAGTATTGTAGAAATAGGTATACTAAAAATAGTGGTACATATCTAATGTTAAGCAGTATAACTCGTTAGTACCCTAATAGCACAAAATATTGAATAACATTGAATACATGTGTATTTAATATTAAAAAGATTAAATATTAAATACACATGTATTGTTGTATGTATGTAATTATATATACATGTATTGAATACA